AAAAAGACGGTTCTACGCCGCACTAAATTCAGTTGCAAAAAAGACATTAAAAAATCACGTTGATAACGGTTTTTGCGCATTATCGGGGGGACCAACTTTTTTTGTTAGGCTCAATTTTTTTCAAATATAAATAGTGGAAGTCTATCTATTTTTTTTTACTATTCCAAGACGTAAAAATGTTTAACATTACTACTAGGCTAAAAAAGAAATCGATTTTCGATCACAAATGGCCAATTTCGACTAATTCAGACATTTTTAAAGTTTTAGACAACTTTGTGGTGGAAATACGTTATTTCTAAATGTTTTTACTGTTCCTAACTTACAAAACGTACAAATTTCTATTGAAAAATACAAAAAAATGGCCGTTTTTGACCAAAGTTTCGACTTTTCAAACATTTTTATAAGTGTTTAGATAGTTTTCTAGCTAAACTTTAATTATATTTTCTACTTTCTATTAAGTTTCTAGACATTATAGACCTTCACAAAATTTTATCCGCCACCCCCGATAATGCAAAAGAACCGGAAATCGCTAAAACGTCCCTAAAAAGCGTTGCTAACTTGCCTATTTTTACACAAAAATGTAACATAAACCCTTGAGAATTGCCTTAAAAAGCGCTCCAGTACTGTCAGCGCAGCTCGGCGCAAACCAACAAAACCGTTTTGGCACAAGGCCGAAACGGCGGGCCGACTGGGAAAACGGATTGATGGATTTTCCGGGGTCGCCGCCGTAAAATGGAGGCTATCCGGCGACCGGCGACGTTGACTCAACTCGCCCGATTTACCACCCCCAAACACGCCACGTCAGCGCGTGGAAATAACGTGGGATTAGGGAGGCGTGTTTTTGGGTTGGAAATGACGGACGGGTCAGGTGTACGGTCAAGCGGCGATAAAAAATAAAAAAACGGCTTAAAAAGGCAAGTAATTTCAACGGCTTGCTGATGCGACCCGTACTGATTTGAAGAGCCTAAAACTACAAATGGAAGCGTGAATGCGCTGAACAGCTTGCTGACGTCGCTTATAATGATTCTGAGAACCGCCGGAAATGGGATGAAAACTGCAACGAAAGGGAAAAATGCGTTGACCTGCTTGCTGAGGTCGTTCATACTGCATTCGAAACATGCCAGGTAATGGAAAAGGGAACAAGATGCAAAAAGGGCTAACCCGCTTGCCGACGCCGTGATACTGATTTTGAGCAGCGCCAGCATAGGAAAAAATAAAAATATGTGCCGAACTGCTTGCTGACGTTGCCTATAATGATTTTAAGACTTAAAAGGGAGAAAACTAAATAGGTAGGTAAAAATGGGCTGACCCTGCTGCTGATGATGTTCGTAAGAATTTTGAGACTTGCCGGGCAAAAACGGAAAGCAAAAAAGAGCTGACCTGCTTGCTGGCGTTGTCTCTAATGATTTTGCGATGTGCCGGCAAATGACAAAGCTACATAATGACTTTCAAAAACATACATGAGCCGCCTGGCCCCCTCGAAAAAGTCTAGCCACAACAATTAGTGGCAAGACGCCCTGTGACGCGCGTCAAAAGCCGCCGGAAGAAGCCGCAAAAAAGTGGCGTTGTGAAATGCATGGGCACCGGGATAAATGCAGGAAGATGTGGGAATAGACGGGGGTAGTTGCGGCTTTTTCCCCGGGAAATGTGTCTCCATCCGCAGCATCCCACCATCCGAATTATTGATGACTTCGCTCGGGATGGGCGACTTCCGTTTCATGCAGAAATCGGATGGGTAGGGCGGTTGATTTGGAAGCCTAAGCCGAAGCAAAGGCCCAAGCCTAAGCCGGATCCTAAGCCCAAGCCTCAGCCTAACCCTAAGCCTAAGCCCAATCCGTTGTCCAATTCTACGCCTGAGCCCAAGCCGAAGCTTTGGCTAGCTGTCGCTCGAGATGGGCGAAAAAAGCCAAGCCAAGCCAAAGCCAAAGCCAAAACCCAAGCTTAAGCCCAATCCGAAGCGTCAACGCCAGCCTAAGCCCAAGACTAAGCCTAAGCCTAAGCCCAAGCTTAATCCCAAGCCGAAGCCGAAGCCAAGCTATCTGAAAAAGCTTAACCGTGAGGCAAGAACACCTGACTGCAGATAGTAGCTTCAGCGGCGTGGTCATCTGATCCAGGTGGGTATTGGGTGTCGACCGATTGCATTTCAAGCTTCCACCCCACAGTCCCGGGGATGCCAATATACGGATCCAATTGTTGTGTGGGCGGCAATTATAATCTCTCGGTTCCGCGTTGCGCCCATCCACAGTTCGTTTCCAAAATTTTCCCGCTGTGCGCGTGAATAACGGAAATAAAAGCCAGTGGACGCTTGAGGGGGAATCAGAAAAGTGCGGCGAAGCGGGTAAAAGGTAGGTATTACAGGCTTTTAAAGGGACAGCCATCGTAAAGAGAGTAAAATCGTGAAAAAGCAGCGAACGCACAGGATGATGGTGTACAGAGGAGCCGCGTGTAGTTTAGTCGCAGAAAACGAGGGTGTTTTCCATTAATCACGTTTTCAAACCTTCCAGCCCTTGACGAAGGTGTTTCTAGAGGCATGCGTGCGCGGAAATTTGCTGAATTGACCCAGAATCGCGGAAAATGCCGTTTTTATACCTAAAAACTGTGCACAATGCTATAAAAAATGGTTGATAATTTGTCATAGGTCCGTACAGGATTACTGGGAAACTTAGTGCCCCCCGCTAACAGTCCAGTACCAGAATATTTAGGAAAAACGTTTTTAAAGGGGCGACACGGAAAGTGGAATCGTTGGGGGAAGCAGCTTGCGCGCAAATACCACTGTCCAGAGTAGCGCCGTGTAGTTTCCCTTTTTTCCGTGTAGTTTCGTAAAAAAAATCGGGCGTTTCCCCCTCTACTCCTCTCCATCTCGATATTTGGATCGTAGTGTCGTTCTAAAGGACCTGTAAAGGCAAAATTGAGCCAGGTAGTTTTGCGCTCGAGAATCTCGAAAATCCAGACAGCAAAATATAGATTTTGGGCGCGGGATCAAGTCCGGTGAAAGCAGGTAGTGAGAGCCGGGGGTAGGGTGTGGATGGGTATGGGCGGCAACGAAAGCGAGACGCGGCAAACTATCAGGGCCGGGCATCGGCCATATGCACAGCCAGACATCGGCCGGCCCGGGCGCGAAATGACAGCCGCATGCGGAAGCACGCACGCACGGGGACGACGACGTCAAGCCTGTCCCGCGGCGCACGGCCCAAAACGGGGCCTGCCAATCGCGGAAAGCTGCCGCCTGCTGAGATTTGACTAAAAAAAAATGGCTTTTAACAAAAAGTTCACAAAACGTTCAGGGGATTGTACGTTTACACCTATTTACGCAGAGACGCAGCTGTCCATAGGTGTATACCGTTCTTTCGCAGTAGAAAGGACGGTATACACCGGGAAAGCTTTTTGACAACAACTTTCCCTTAATTTTTGAGCTCAAAAACCGATAAATTGAGTGGTGCCATACATTTATTTTTATTTTTATTGCACGCTCTAAATCACTAATAAATGTATTTAAAAGATTCAAAAGCTGTTTTTTTGAGCATAAGCTTCACTCTAGCGAAATCGATGTGCCCCATTTTGCGCCATGGTACCGGTGGGGGCGATAAGCGCAAGCCGTTACACGTTAAAGCCCACGGAAACAACCATGTACGGGGAGGGTGGAGAATGGGCTGCGAGAGCCGGATCTCGGTGCAACAGGAACCAGTCGTCAGATCGGGTAATGGGCTCTCGACCGCATACATACAGGGTGATACACCAAAAAAGTGGTATATAGGGCCGAGATTACTTTTTCTAGGTTTTTGCATAGCCATAAGCTAGCTGGGTACGGTAATTGGAAATTTCAAACATTCTGAAAAAAATTTTCTAACTATCTAACAATGAAAACTACTAAAAAGAAATACACTGTTTATTATCAACATAAATCCCGAAAGCCAGAAACCACAGATTTTAAAACGATTTATGAGTAAAATGACCAGAAAAATAACATTTTGGCTGTCGGTATCATGGATGTCGGGGTTATGGCTGGAATTCCTGCCTGACCCCCCCCCCCGCTATTCGTGCAGTGCTATCTGTAGCTAACAAGAAGCTCGGAAATTTGGTAAAATTTCGCAGGAGAAAACGCCGGTAGATGGAGATGTGGGTAGTAGGGGAAAAGAAGGGAGCTGAATGAGGATGAGGGGGTCAGAAAGAGAGCTGAAATCCCCCTCGATTGGAGGGGGGTCAAGGACATGAGTAGCAGCCGATCGAGGGGAGAGCCCCCGCAGGCCATCCAGCCCTAACCAACACTACCTAATACCGGGATCGAGGTTTCGGGATTAATGATTGGGAAATAGCGACAAGCTCGAGCTCAAGCTCGAGCTCCCGTGATATCGATTGGATCAAATTAACATCGTGGCCAAACGAGCGGAGAAGAGTTTTATCGCCTCCACTCCCCTTCCCCCGTCCGACTTTCAACTTTTCTATCTCGGCTTTCCGTGATCGTACAGGTGTAAAGTATACCAAAGTGTTCGTATTGCTCTGGAGAGTATTTTGGTGTACTTTAAAAATCTGTAGAACAACGGGGAGCAGAGTACGCCACGAATTACTGGAATCTGGCGCCTAAGCAACGAATGCTCCTATCGACGCAAAACGTATGGGGCTAAAACTTCAAGCCCTATAGCTTTTAAACTAAAGCTAATCTTGAAAAAAGCTAATTCCAAGTTTTAGAGTGAAACGAGGCGGTTCGAATGACATGAGGAGTTACGAAACTAATTGCAAAATCATAAGAATACCAGGATTAACATAACCGCTATTTCATCACACATTCAAATCGATAGTACTCGAAATACAAGGCATTACTCATTCCGGCAATAACAGTGGCCGTATGGCCGGGTTTACGCCGGTTTTTGCCCAAATCTTTCTGATCCTCGTTTGGCTATTGTTGAGCGCCCACGGCCAAGAGCCGACCCCCGATCCCGGCAAGCAAAAACGCATCGACGGTTGGTGAAAAACAGAAATCCCATCCCAACCGACAAGTTCAGCATTCCGGAAAACAGTCGGCGATCAGGACTGGGTGCCCACCCTCGACCTGTATGATCGCTTTGATTTTGTAGGAAAATTCGTGCAAAATTACACCTTTTATCCTGCCAGAGCGGCCTGCGCGAGATGAAGATGAACGTGCTGGAGGCGTTCCGCCACGACATCGACTGCCCGTTCATCGGCGAGGGCGAGCGGTTGTTGCGGTATTTGAATTCATTGTTTAGGAATCGAATTGGGTTTCTTTATTTAGGAAAATACCAGAAAAATACCCCCCCCCCCACCCGGCCCCCACCTACCGTATCTCGGCTCCCTGTTGATCTACAGGTGTGTAAAGTATACCAAAATACTCGCCAGAGCAAGATGAACATTTTCGTATACTTTACACGCCTGTAGATGATCAGGGAGCCGAGATACAAAAGTTGGGTGCCGGCTGCGGGGGGGAGGGGGGAGGTAAACTGCACTCTAACCAAATACCATTTTTGCAGGCAGCGTGAAGGGCGCTGTCCCCGCGAGAATGACGAAGAGTGGGTCCTTCTCATTTTGTGCTAAATTGCAGCCCCACTCAAGCCTCAGCTACTGTTCCTACAAGGGTGTAAAGTATTTCAATCTAAAAACTGTTTAGAAAAATAATGCGAAAGAACCACTACATTACTTCCGGAAAATCGTCGAATTCCTCATTTTCGCGGATGCGCGACAAGCTGCGGCAAAAGCGGGTGAAGGGCCGTCGGAAACGCTTCAACGCCATCCAGGACGCCAAGAAGCATGTAAGAATGTTTGTTTTGACGAGTTTTGTCCTTTAGGTACTAAACTTTGCGACGTTCGGGATGTTGCGGGGTGACCCCCTGAAGCTGCCGCCGACCGGGGCCTCGATGCTCATCCTCGAGGGCCAATGGCTGACGCTGAGATGTGCTCTGAAGAAGGATGAAGATAAGGTAATTTTTGGGTGCTTTAGCAGTAGCGGGGGGTGTTTCGAAACGGCTTTTTACTAGTCCTAAGAAACTTTACAAAATTGTGTTAAAAAATGTCAAAAATATCGATTTTACGACCAAAATGGCCGATTTTTTACAAAAGTTCCGACTTTTTGGATTTAGATAGTTTTTCTGGTTTTTTTTCTATTTTATTCAAAACGCTATTAAAAACTTCTTATTAAGTTAATAGACATTTATACACTCATACAACAAGATTCGACGTGGTATACGTTTCCAGAATCAAACAGTCTGGGTCGTAAATGGCAACACGATCGAGCCGAACTACTACGAGTGGCGCATCAAGGCCGAGGCGGACATGTTCGAGGTGGGTCTTCAACTGACACTTCCAGTAGGGGTTTTTCTAGGTTTTCCCGACCGTCCTCGACGACGCCGGCATTTTCGAGTGCCTCTACGAGGACCAGCTGCGCGGTTTTGCCAATATCACGATCGTTACCCGATGGGTAAGCGTTTAACTTTGGATTCCAGCTCGAATTCTAGGCGGCCATCTGGATGGGCTACCAGAATTACATGACGGTGATGTGCGTGTTTTTGCCGCTGTGGGTGGCACTCCTCGGCAGCAACTTTTTTGCGCCGCCACCGGTATGACCTCGTTGTACCATCGAGCAGATTTTTGGCTTCAGAAGTTCAAGAAGAAACATGGGAAATGGGGCGACGCCTACATCGAGCATCGCCTGAACGACAATGTATCTAAGGCAAAGGTAAGCTGGTATTCTTGCTAAATGGCCAAAATTATGGTAAAAAAGAATTTAGAAATAGAAAATATAAGTAATAGAAAACGTAAAAACAACCCTTATACCAGGAATCGATTGCCCGCAAAAAGTTTGGCGACGACCTCGAGAAGCAGAAGGAATTCCTGCTGAGAAGCCAGTACGGGCCAGCCGGTGAGTCGATTTCAAAACCAGAAAAACCTTTTACTACTAACTGCTAAAAAACCACTACAAAGTTTAAAAATACGCTAAAAAATTCTCTATTTTTCAGAAACCGCCGCGATCAACCGGCGCATCATCCAGACAATTCTCGACGGCTGCCGTTAACCCCATTTCCCCCACTTTTTTACGTTAATATTCAACAATGAAATACAATCTTTATTCGTCGAATAAAATGTACAAACAGACAATGGCACTAAAGCGTTGAGGTATCTGGGGGCTGAGGTATCTTTGGGGTGGATTGAGTGAGATCTATGAAATATGTACACGCGGGTGCAAAATAATATAGCATTTGTTCGAGATCATTCTAATGTCGGTGCTGAGGTCATATGGCTAAAATCCCGTCTATCGATAGACCCTGATGTGGAGCAAGAGCAGGAGCAAGAGCTGCTCATGCTCGTTTAGCTTCTTTTTTGTACATGCTTTAGTTGTCGTTCAGCCACTTCATCCAATTCTCGTCGAGCGGCTCGTCGACCGGTGGGTCGCGTTGCTCCAGGATATGTTTCTGGGGCTTCGGGGTTGAGCCTGAAAGGTATTTTTATTATGGTTTTTCGATACTTTAGATGTTTTTCCCTGATACATAGCGTTTTTCTACTCACCGGTGAAGCGGAACGGCGTCTGCCGGAAGCCCATCGCCTCCGTCAACACTACGTTGATGCCGATGGCAATTTCCTTGGACGCCGGCAACAAGAGATCCTTTTCCAGGATGAAGCCGTATTCTGAAAATGTATTTTAGAATGCCAAACTTCTCGCGCTTACCTTGTGTCACTGGCCGGACTTCGATCGTGTAGGCAAATTCGGGCTCCAGCTCGCGCTCCACCCAATCCATCGAAGAGCCGGTGGAGGTATCTGTAAATTTTTTATTTCCGGAATTACCTGAGAACGCCGGGTGTTAGCGCCCAAAGTTACTTCTCAAAACTTACAGAGAGCGTCGGCGGGCGTAGCGTGACCATAGCGGGTACCGCTATACGCGCAAATGGCGTCGGATGGCCTTCTGCGCAACGTGTAGATCTGGAAAATAACCGGTTTATTGGAGGATTATGGGCTTTTCAAAAACCATAAATACCAAGAACCGCCCCGAAAAACCCACCGTGCGCTCGACGTTTCGCGTGTAGGTGCCCTGGAGCGTAGGCGTAGGGGTAGAGCCACAATTGGCCGGGAGAGTGGAGCGTGATGTAGGCCTCAAGAGCCGGCAAAGTTCGCAGCTAACGCGACAAAGGTACGTCCCGCAAGGGTTTTTGGTTTGTTTCTCACGTTTATCACGTATTTTTCTGCTTTTTTTTTTTTTGCATTTAGCATTTGTGGAAGATTTTCCTAGGCCGTACCTGGTCTCGGAAGCGCTGAAAGGCGAAGGGCCGGCATAAACATCGCTGCACGGATCCTCGCTGGCGGAAAAGGCGAGGTCCCAGCTGCGATTCAGGTCGACGCCCTCGCAGCAGCGGCCTTCAGCAGTGCAGCGCTTTGGCGAACGGTTCCGGCGCCAAAGACGGTGCTGAAAAAGACAAAATATTAAGCGTAAGTTACTAAAAAAGCATTTTTCATAATCAAAACCAAATTTTCACTACACAGGCTACACCCCCCTTCCCCCATTGTGTAAGACATGGTTTGATGTATGTGGTTTCCATTATCTCTCTCATCCATCATCATCGTCTCTTCTATATATCATCATGTCATCTCTCATCATGTCTTCATTTCATCATCATATCATCATTATTTCGTTAAAAACGATCGCGCACGATGATCAACGGTTTCATCAGCAGCAGCTCTGGGACCGCTAGGTGGATTGGTGGGCTATTTGCATGGCGGTTTTTGTTATTGTTGTGAAGAACTCAGATTTCGACACGCCACCTGCATGACATCGCAGCAGTGCGTCAAACAGCACCTTTACCGCTACTCTTTTTTTTTTGCGGCAAAAAACGAAAGAAGACCAAACACCTCCGCTCTTTCTTTGGTGGTTGATTATTATTATCGTTTATCGATCATATCTATATTATCTATTTCTTCTCATCCGTCCGTCTTGTTTCCGCGAACATTTCCTTTCCCCGTTTCTCACTCGTGCCATAATCCTACTCTTCTTTGTTGTCAGAACGAGAGAGGAAGGAGAAGGCTGCGCTT